AGCCTAGCCTAACCTAACCTAACCTACCTACCTTCATGCATACGTACATATGTAAGTGCACACAAGAAACCTCAAAAGATACAAACCATCAGCAGCCCTGCACGCGAAGCTCTCACACTGTAGCTGGGTTTTCTGGATTCGGGCATCCGAAGTCCGAAGCATGGCCCTGCAAGACGAAGCTCATGCTTCGAACAGGTTGCCTGCTGGCGGTGTTCGAAGGCTCTTGCATCGCAGAAGCCAGGGCCAAAACTCGAAAAGCCGAGCCCCCAACACTGAAAGCCTTAAGCAGCAAGTAGCCAAGGAGCCCCGTAGACACAGAGAACAGGTCTTTGCGGCGGATCAGGAGACTCAAGCAGTCTGGATTCATGACTGCTTCAGAACCCCGGATGACTGCCCCGGAACCTTGAAGTTCTTCTGGCGAGGCACGTAGCGCCAGGCCCAGCCGAGGCAGTCGCCCGCCTGGAGCCGGATTCAGCCCTTCAACAGCTTATAAGGGTGCATGAGGACCCGAACCCAAACCCAAACCCTATAAACCCTAAACCCTATAACCCCTATAAACCCTAAACTGGCCCTAAACTCTAACAAGCCCCGAAGCGGCCCTAACTTGGCGTTTCGGGGCTCTCCGAGCTCCCCGCATGGCCCTGCAGGACCGGCCTCGTAGGGCATCTGGAGCCGGGCCACCACCACCGTTGGCCCGAAGTCTCCCCTCTCCAGCGCTGGAGGGAGGCCCTGAGATCGGTTTTTTTCAGGGGTTGAAATGGGATTTATGAGGGCTCCTAGATATACTTCATGAATGAAGCTTGGGGTTTGTGGGTGCAGTGGTCCGGGGCTGTGGGGTTTCGGATCCGATTCAGTGCTTCCAGCTTTCAGGCTCAAGACTTCATTTTTCAGCGGCCATGCTTTGGATCTGATTGAAGGGAGCTGCGAAGAGCTCAGGATCGAGGAAGGGACATGGAAGCGAGAAAGCCAAGAGAGCTCTCTATACAAGACAATTGGCCAGACTTGAATCCGAAACCCTGTGGGAGAGAGAGAGAGAGAGAGAAAAAAATAACTACGCAAAGAGTGGCACAGACAGTGAGCATGAATCAAAGCCCGTCCGACTTTCTTCCGCAAAGCCTGCTTATAGGCCACCACGTAACCGTTATCGATTATCACATTGTGCGCTGTAAGGCGGTATTGTCCCAATCTACGTGAAAGGTTGCTCTAATCCGGTGACTTTGCAATATTCCCCACGCAACACACGCCCCCTTTCAGGGCACTCTGGCCTCCCAAACCAGACCCGCTCTTCAGGGCTTCTGGAGCTTAGGCTCCAAGTTAGCCTGCCAAGGACAGGAAAGTCGCTAAAATAAACCAAACTGGACCCGACAAAATCCTGGCAGATCCATCAATAACTCTACAGCCCAAGGACCTCCATCGACCCTTTAACATCCCGGTTTTGAACCCTTCCTTTGGGCCCACGAGGGTTGGAGTCTATATTGTCCATATACGGGTCCTGACCCGCCCTCAAAGCCCCTACACCCCAACGTCCGTTTAGGGTTCCCTTTCATCCTTTTCCCCTAAACCCTTTCCTAAACCCTAAACCCTAAACCCTCCCTAAATGGTTTTGGGCCCAGGAGGCCCACACCCGCTGTCGGCTTCGAATTCGACCGCTGCTGGCATTTTTCATCTGGATCAAATCGACATCAAGAACCTGAGAATGTAGGGCAGTGTAGAGGGCTCTCGAGTTTTTGGGGTGTTTTAAATTGGCGTGTGGGGTTTATTAGTTTTCGGGCTCTCCAGCTTTTAAGTTTTCACACTGCCGGCGTCGGGTTTACGTTCTTCGGCTGTTAGTGTTGGAGCCTTGTTGCAGGGCGAGACCTTTCGGTTGGAGGTTTGGGATTCGAGATGTTGGCGAGGATACCCGTTGCTACAGGGCCCTGCGATAACTTTTGGTTGGGTGGCTTTGGCACCGCCTCAAAAGAGGGATGTCGCATCCGTGCAGGTAATCCACATCTTGCATGGGGAGTACTGCTTGATAAGGTGCGGGGGTTCAGGGATCTGCTAGCGTCGAGAGCTTTTAGCAGGTGACATTACGGAATCCTCCGTTGAGCCTCCCCAGCATGTCGGTCTCGAAGTAGTCTTACTGGAATCTCATCTGGGATGCATTGCAGCAGTGCGTTCCCCCGTGGGCTCGGAATACTTCAGCAAGCTCTAGCAAAATTGTTCCCTGGAGTCCGCCCGAAACCTTCGACGCTGCAGAACATGAGGTAAGTGGGCGATGCTGTCTAACAACATGCTGCCGCGAAAGATGCTCGAAATTGGCGACCACCGTCCCGTGACTCAAGCGCGGCAACCAATCAACTGCCACAGCCGCACACAAGCGCAGCCTCTGAGCAACAGGATCCCTTATACTTTACCTTTAAGGCATGAGGACTACAATGTTCCAACTTTATGGCTTCTACTATACTGCATATCTACGGGCCCAGCAGAATGCGGCTCCTTGGGCAGCCCGGCTCTGAGCCGTGGACGTAAGGGATCACTCCCGTGCTCTTCCGGCTGATCACCAGCACCAGGCCAGCTGAGAGCAGAAGTTCCGGTGTTCGAGGCGTCTTTGGGGAGTCCTTATTATCAAACGGCCCCCTGAAGCCGGAACTATAAGATTACTGGTGCAATGGGTACTTTAAACCCGAAGCCCTAAAATGCAAGATCCTATTGAACTGACTACCTTGGCAGTAACGCTACTTGCTCTCAGGATGCAATGCCAGTTTTGGTCACTCTCGAAGAACCCCCGCCCAGTTGATTAGATGACACAGACACGAACCGATCAGCGCGCTCCACGTCTCGCTCGGAGAGGTGTGGGATGTGGGGCCTCTTCTAGGTTGGGTTTGGGGGAAACCTTAAAGGCGGAATCCCAGACCTTTTGTGGGGTTCTGGGCCGGGCTGCTAATGATGCCGACTTCCCTGAAGCATTGCTCCAAGTCGACGAAGTGACCTGAGACTGTCGAGCATCTCTGGAACAGGCATATATGCAAAGGTGCGGCAGGAGTATAGCACGTTGCACACAGTAGGAGACCATACTAGTGCTGAGAGCTTCTCTCTAAGACTCTAAGACTAAGGCTGACTTTTCTTCTTCGAGGCTTCAAGGTTCTGGCCAATTACAGCTTGGGTCAGCGTGGCCCTCTCGCCTCAACCCTCTGGAGGGTTGATTTGAAAAGGCGTTGTCTACGACAAGGGCCGAGCTAACTACCTTCGTAAACTAATTCCTGCGCCCATCCCAAACGCCAGAACTCCACCCATCCACCAGAATGTCAGGTTCGACCTTTCTCAGCGGTTGGGCTTGCCCAACTCACATAGATTCTCATCTGTAGCCTTTAAACAAGATGAACGGGAACCATACCCTAAACCCTAAACCCTAAACCCTAAACCCTAAACCCTAAACCCTAAACCCTAAACCCTAAACCATGAGCTCTGCCCGACTCCCAGGCCCAGGCCCTAAGGCAAAGGCCTCCTCCTTCGAGCTTGACCCCGCTGGGGACCTGAAACAGGGGGAAGGTTCTTGGTTTATAGCTTAGGCCCTAGGCCCTATAGGCCCAAGTAGATGAAGAGCTCAGCTCATAGAGGGCCTAGGGTTAAAGCTCCCATTTTCCGGCGCTGGGTTGCCTCACAGCCCTCTCCGAAAGCCCAATCAAGATCTTGATCGGAGCCCATGCTTTGATGAGCCACATCCTGCAGCCAGTAAGCCAGACAGAAGATGTACAAGAACCGTGCAAAGCAAAACCTCCTGTTCTGGAATGCAAACATCCACCTCAGGGACCCACCAAAGCCAGACACTACAATCTTTCAACCAGACTTTCGCGACAAAAACGGAACCCGTACAACCTACGAGGCACTGCTTCCGATGGCATGTGGCCAGCTGTCGACATGCAAACAGAGGCAACGAAGCAAAGAACATTGCTTGATACGTGTGCGGCAGCGGGTGCGGGGCTCCAGGAAAGTGGAAAGCCGAAGATGCCTGAAAGTTTTGCCAGAGGCGGTGAACCAGCTCGCCCTGATCCCAGACCCGGCTCCTCAGAGGTTCTCGGCCGGGGTTTAGGGTGCAAGTGCTTGGGGCCAACAGGAAGTTGGACGTCTACCTGCTGGCGTTTTCTTCGGTCCCTTTCCTTGCAGAGGTCTTCAGGTTCAGTTGGACGGCTTTGCTGCTAAGGCCTTGGATTCGGGAGTAGGGGGCTTGTGCGTGTTGTAGTTTAGTTGCCAGCCCTGAACTTTGAAAATGCTCAGCACCATGCAGAGTTCCGAGACTTTCTGGGTTTGGGCTTGAGGGTGCAGTCCCGGGAATACACATGCAGACCGCTCTCCCCCTCTGAGGCCTCAAAACCCTCATATTCGGTAAATCCTCGAGCCTCGAAGCCCTAACCGCACACCCGAACCCTGAAGCGCCTGAAGAAGAAACCTTTACTAAGAAGACAATCCTGATTTCCCTTCCAGAAGCCTTGGTGGAGCCTTAGACGCCCTCAGCCCTTAGCGCTAAAACAAAAGAACTCTCAAGGGCAGAGCTCGCCATGGCAAAGCCGACGTACTTGTTAAAGGAGTGCAGCTCCTTCTTCATCGAGGTCTCCTCCTTCAAAGCTTCGAGGGCTGGGGCTTTAAAGCTTCGGGGCTTTAAGGGTTTCCGAGATTGAATATGCAGCGGGGTTTGCAATTGTTTTGGGGCTTTAGGTTCAGGTTGAAGGCTTCGAGGAAAAGAAAGCAATGGTCTCAGGCATCAGGCTGTTAGGGCGGGTTCGGGGCTTTGGATTTCGTGGTTTCCAGGTTGCCCGGTGCTTCGCCGGCACAGCGCAGACACTTGATGCTGGCTCTGACACTAAATCTCCTGCGTCCGGATGCCTCTCCCGATCTAAAGTCCTGAGACCCCGGGACGCTAAACATCCCCAGACCCTGAGGCCAGAACATCCTTGGACCGCCTTTTCAAACCTTTTACAGACAGACTCCACCGATCAGTCTCTTCTATCTAGGATGGTTTTCCAATTCCAGCGTCCAGGGTCGCCAAGTAGTCCCAAGACCCTCGCACGAAGCTCTAAGCCGAAAAACCCGGTGGCCTTTCTAGCCAAAACACGCTGGAAACCTGCACTCTCAACCCTAAACCCGGAACACCTTGAGCACAAGCCTCCAAAACTTACCCCTGAGCCCTGAACTCTGACTATAAATCCTGAATCCTGGAAACCCCCCATACCTCCCTAACTTTGAAGGGCGAACCTCGCCTGCCAATGGAAGTGCAACTGGCCGTTCCTGAGCCGGTCAACAGTTTGGTCGGCGTTCACGGGTCGCGGCTAGGGACAGACTGGGGCATCGCTTCGCGGTGCGCGAGTGGTGCGCGAGTGGTGTGAGTGTGAGACTTAGTTTAAGGCCTTGCTGAATCTGAGTGCGGCAGCTTTAGAATGTATTCGGGAGTAACTTCCAGTGGAGCTTGTGTAGCGCATTCACTCGTTCCATGGTCTCGTGGTTGCAGGGGAACCAGATCATGCAAGCTGAGAGCATTCCCATCAAAAGCACGCGCACACAGCGTGTTGTGAATGCGGCTGTGCGGAGAAACTTTGCAAGCTTCACCCCATCCGCAACAGTTCGGGCACCAACAAAAACATACCGCTGAGCCTCGACATCTCAACGCCCTCGGCCCTCTGCAGGCACTCAGGCAGTACTGCTGAAAACCCTGAGAAAGCACAAAATGCAAAATGCAGGGCTGGCATCGGCTTGCGATCCCTTTCAGCAGCGTTGAGGTGGAAGGTGAGCTGTTGCTTTGCAACTTCCTGGATGCTCAGAGTGGAATTGCAGGCGCAGCAAAGTCTGAAAACTCTAAAATCTCCCATCATGTTCACCGGTCTGCGCGGCCAGCTTGCAGGACAAAGGCGAGAAAGGATCGAGAAAGGATACCGGCTTGCACAACACCTTCACGCCTGCAACACACACACACACACAGAGAAACATGGAGCAACAAGGATTAAACATGCTCATCACTGCAGAACGCATGAGAGCTAGATGCCACGCTTTGACACATCAATGTCCAGACTTTCGATCTCCTGTGCCCGAAACTGCAGAGCCCCAAACCTACATTCACAGGCCCTCAAGTGCAAGACTTCGGCTGCCCCAAGCCAGGTGACCATCACCGCACCACCAGTGGCTGCTCCCATTGCCATCTTAGGACTTGGGGTTCCGGGCTCAGGGTGTAGATTAGGCTTTAAAGCCGTTCAGCAAGAGAGCAGTCTTGAACAGATCACGCTCATGCGTTTTTGGCCCTGGTTCAGGTTCCTCGTTTCAGGCTGGAGTGGCTGCGGCTTAGGGATTCCTTATTCCTGTTTCGGGAAAGGCTCGGTGAAGAAAAACTGTCTGCGAACAAGTCTTTTGAAGGTGCGCCAGAAGTCACCAATGCCACCAACAGAGGCACGGCGGGTGTCTCTTAGAGGACTATATAGACCAAGCCCTGTATACCCGGTCTAGTGTTTCTGCTGATGAGAAGTCCTGGAAAACCCCGAAACCGGTGAACCCAGAACTCCAACATGGCCAGGCTGCCAGCATGCATTTCCCGAAAGGCGGAACGCCGTAGAAGACATAGCCCACCATGGGGAGCATCCTTCAGATAGCAGGGCCTAGCTTGGGCCTAAGAAGGGCGTAGGGCTTAGGGTCTTCGAGTCTTGAAGTTTTGGGGCTTCGGGAGTCGATGTTTCTTGCCTTCCGATAGCTGTCTGCCGTGAAACCAGCTGTTGAACCTACAGGTATCAGGATTTGGGTACCGCTCGGAGAGCGACCCAAAGCAAGAATGACCCTCCCCCGATACAGGCGATGTGTCCGAGGAGTGCGAAGCTTCATTGTTATCGAAGGCTTTTATCTTGTTGTGTATGCTATATCATACCATCATATTATGATACAGCTTAGTTGAGTGGCTTTCCGGTAACCCTGGTTGTTGAGAGTCGTCCCAGGGGCCGCGGGAGTGCGGCGCGCGGGAAGACGAAGCAGTCGCTGCCGGGATGGATCTGCGGAAACTGGCGAACCTGGGATGTCTTTTTGGGAAGTTTAGGGGTTTAGGGCTGAGAGTCCCCTGGGGCTCATTTCAATCTAGGGCCTCAGGGTACTCATCCGCGGCAAGGGTTTCCGCACAGATTCGGTGGGGATGTTCAATTCCGCACAAGACGCTCTTGAGCTGCAGGCTCCTCAAAGAAGCATTCGGACTAAAGCCGCGCACCAGCCGTGCACTTGGGGCACTACATGACGGGATCCTTATAAGCTCCAGGATCCCAGGCAGGTCAAGCCGACAAGAAGGTATCTACTTCGGATTTACGGCCGACAGGTCGAGGTTACTCTCTTCTGTGAGCATGGGCGGGTGCGAACAAAATGAGGAGCTTGAATAGCTGACGGGAAGCGAGATCAGCAAGTATTCCAGCTGTTCGAAATACCAGTATCTGAATAAGAACTGCGATCCTGGTAAGATGACGAGAAACTCCAAGAGAAAGAGTCTCAGGCTCTTACGGGCGCGGCCGTCTGGGCAAGAAAAAACGAGTCTGTCCGATCTCTGAAAAGGCTTTGCCTAAGGAAGACCGCGGAATTCAATACACACTTTTTCGTTTACTAACAACACCCCACCTGGGCGCCGAATCCCTGACTCCCACATCGTGAGGAACCCACTTGCTGCCAAGTTACTCAAGCGAAGGTTTAGACTTTAGGGCTTAGGGCGGGTTAGGGTTCTGGGGGGACCAAGTTCGGAGACCTTGAGCTTTTTTCGCCAGGAGGCCAAGTCGAAGAACGGCTTCAGGTACACCTGAGGATCAGGATCCTAGGGCTCGTGGGTTTGGGCTTGGCTTGTCTTGCGTGGAAGAGGATGCATGCTTGCATGCTGAAGCCTCACCTGCTCTTAGAGAGCTGGATTCTCCTGCACCCCTTTGAAACTCAAGACGGCATCTAACATCTCAGGAAGGTGTCAGGCTGAGGCTCAGTCTGTTTGTGTCTTCGCAAATTTCGTACTAGTTGCAGGATGCCCGGCATTGCCGGGCACACACACAGTACGCCACACTACCATCCCAAAGCCTAAAGACCCTAATCGTGAAACCGCCTTCTGCCAAATGACCCTTCCACCCTTGTGCCAGTGACGCTGGTGGACGTGGCGGCTCCAGTTTCCTCGGCCACATGCCGAGGGCTGCATGGTGCAGAAGTCAGAAAACGATGCTTGAAATTGAATAGGGCTGATAGGCTTTACAGGGTTTACTCAGGGCTTCACTGGCAACAACTTACGCAAAGAAAAGATTTACGATTTCTGGCCACAAGTCCCGTCCCACGGAACCCTAAACCTGCAGCCCAAGATCCTGAACCCTATAGACCCTATATACCTAAGCCCCTTGATGTCAAGCGGCCGATGCCGACGCGGAGGATGCTCAGGGACTGCGCGGGCGCGACCTCATCGAGGAGAGCTTGCACCTCAGTGCCCAGCTCGCGCCTTTAAGCACCCCTATACCCTAAACCCCAAAGCATATGTAAACCCCAAACCCTATACAACCCCCAAGCCCTATATAAACCCCATACCCTATATAAACCCAAAACCCTGTATAAACCCCATACCCTATATAAACCCAAAACCCTGAATAAACCCTAAACCAAAACCCTGTGTGAGCCCCAAACCCCAAGTCTCAACTCTCCAAAAGCTGGCCGGCAGTGCGCCTGAGCGTAGAAGTCTGCAGTGAGGCCAAGGTCGGCGATGGTGAGCCTTTTTTCGGGCGCTTCTTAGGGGTTTATAGGGGAGGGTGTCAGGGGTTTAGGGTTTCGGTTTGGGGTTTATAGAGCTTATAGGGTTAAGGGGCGGGCTTCCATAGGGTATCAGGGTTGAAGGACTTATAGGGCTTAGAGTATCAGGGCTTCCAGGGTAGAATCAGGGTTTCTCGTGCAACCAAAAGCTGAGTCGCACGATAAAGTCCTCCGTGAGATCCATCGCTCTCTCCAGGATGTCCCGGAGAAGCGGCCTGAGCCAACAGAAACCGGAAAACTGTCAAACAACCCCCTGCAAAGGGACAAATACCTGTTTGGAGATGTGGGTGGAGGGTTTTACACTAAAACAGCCGAGCTGTTAGCGGAGCACGGTGTAAGGTTTCAAACACGCACGACCTGTTGTTCGGGGCGTTGGGTTTGCTGGGAGATGGAAAAAACACTGTTGTTGCATTGGGGGTTTGTGTGAAGTTTAGGGTGTGGGGGCTTTGAGGAGCCTCGTCAACTCGAGAGTCGCCGAGCTCTGGTGAACGACCGGTCCAAAAGCTCCAGAACAAAGCCGAAGTGCGAGCTCGGGAGTCTAGGACAGGTTCGGTGGCTTGCGGGTCTGTGGCCGTGGGACAGGGATTCATGTATTCTGTATTCCGGGTCCATGGGCTTAGGCATGCGGCTGAAGGACCATTCGACTAGGCGTACGCGCTCGGCATTCGTTGCTTCTGGGATCTATGGGTAGCCCCCTCTCGCCAACAGCAACCTGGCCGAGCACTAGACTTCCTTACCTTCTGCGTAGCATCGATGGTTCCCGAAGAGCTTCGTACATGACCGCCTCACAAAAACCGAGATCTAACCGCAACTGCAGCACAATTCAAGCTAGTGAGGGAACGCGGAAGACTCGCCCGTTGCTACAAGATACCGTTGCGCAAAGCCCCGGATCCCAGATGATAGAAGGCGACAGCACCCTAGAATCGCAAAGCAATGCCTGGAACCCCAAACACCTCAACCCAAAAACAACAAAGTGCAATACCTCATTCGAATTCATGGCTCAGCAGAACTCCTTACCCTAAACGCCACAAAGCCCGACAGTTCTACCCCACACATCAAAGCCCGAGCACAGGCTCGGGATCTGCGTGTGGCCCACGGCCATGACGTGCCGCGCCGTGCGGGTGAGGTCCGGCCTCGGGTACGTGGGGATCTCGGTGCTGGTGTTGGGCTAAGCTTCTTTTGGTGAGGGCTTCTGGAGCGTTGGATGGTGTACTCGGTGTGCAAAAGGAGACCCTGCCTCCTTCCGCAACATAACCCGCATCTCATGGCCCCTTCGTGCCCAGAGTGGCCGACACACAACCATTGCTGGCGACATCCAAAACCTCGCCATCGGCATCATCACAACCGCTACGAGTACCAATGTCATCGAGATCGACATGGTGCAACCCTTCATCTGTTGCAATGGTTACAAGCCTATCCCGTCGACAGTGTCGGCGAGGTTTTAGATGTGGGGCTCAACGCACTAAGAGGCTCCGGCCTTCAGTACCCAAGTGGGGAATCTGAAACCTCTCATGAAGCCTGCACTCCCAGAGCCCTGCATCTTCAAGACTCCCGTTTCGCGGGATGTGGGGGGACCCCCCAAAAGCTAAAACTCAAGCCAAGCGGCAAAGCCGTGAAGGCCGCATCCCGACGGACGCGAGGCTCGTTGGCGACCTGGGTGCTGCCAGCCGCCAGTGCAGGGACTCTCAGGAGTCCAGAAGTGCAGAAGTTTACATTGGGGTTTCGGCTCTTAGGGGCTTGGATTTGTGTGGAGGTTTAGAGGCTTTGCTTTGGAAGTTGCAGGGCTTTCGGGTTCAGGGCTTCAGGGCTTCGGGGCTTATCTCGACTCCTTTGCACCTTCTGTCATACCTGGACAGGATGGGTACCTTCTTCTGCAGGCGACGGATAGGACATCCTGGCAAGAAACCACCAGAGACTCGCGTCTTTGCAACTTTAGCCTTAGCCAGTCTCTCCCACCCAGACGATGAAGACGAGCTGAAGCTCGCTCCGACGCTGTGGTCGTTTGGGAAGCAATGGCTCAGGAACTGGCTCTAGAAGTTACAAGCGGAAGGACACCATCCCGCGCAGCTAATATGTCACGCACCCTCAGGTCGCAAGTTCGGGCCTTCTGCTGAACCCGTGTAATCTAACGCCATAAAAAAGCCTGAAGCCCTCTGAGCCCGAGAAATAAGCCTGCAAAACCGAAACTATAAAAAGCCTGAAGCCCCCTAAACCCTAAACCCTAAACCCTAAATGCGGAATCTTCGGGAAGTCGGGGGGCCTCCACCGTGTAGAGGGAGACCTGGCGGCCCTGGGTCCTCCGAGGTCAGAAAAAAACTCTTTGCCGTTGAAGGGCCTCCCCTTAAAGGGGTTCTGTATATATCCCCATAAAGGGTACTATCTATAGATATAGGGTTCTAGAATTCCCCTTAAAGGGTTCTGTATATAGGGTTCTAGAATCGGGTTCCCTTTATAAGGGAGGTTTGCGCGGTGCCTTGGGGGGGGGGGGGTCTGCAGGGCTTCGGGCTGAGGGGTCGGAGGGCATTAGAGGATTTTGTGGTCTCTGGCTCGAATCGTGGCATATTTAAACTAAACAAAGGCTGCGAGTCCTTGCAACGTTGCGGGCGTGGACCCAGCTGGCGAGCGCGATCCGCTGTCCTCAGCTCCATCTGTTTTCGTCCCAGGACCCAAAAACAATTCAAACTTGGTGGGTTGAAGCGATTTACGGCATTTACCCTTTAATTAGGGGAGTTTAGGCCCCCAGGCTGTAATTAGAGTAACATATGCTCTGCTGTGAGTTGGCCCGGTGAGGCCACTCGGAAGGCACCTGCGTATATAAGACCGCAGGAAAGCCTTCCACTCCCGTGGCCGAGTCTCTTCACTGTCACCCATCCATATCACAATGACCGACTGCTGCTTTGACGGGGGAACGGGGTGGGTAAAGATCTGTTGAGCTCATGGGCTCTATAAACTGGACACCTCCAACCGTATACGACGCCCTGAAGTCTGAACTTCGTGATGGCAGCCCTGTTCACTCCCATCGAAGACCCGAAAGCAAACATCCACAGCAGACCACCCCCTTTTGGGGCGTCGGAGCGGCCCACGTCTTCGAAGGGCAGCAAGTTCGCCACGTGGGCGAAGGAGGCCGAGATGGCGCCGGAGAGCCGCAGCAGGAGCCTCGGAGATTGAGAAAATGACCCCCCCAAAACGAAAAACTGACAAAGATGAAGCTATTAATAACCCTTGTAAACCCTATAAACCCTAAACCCTATTCATGTAAACAGAGACTTTACGCAAGACTGCAGCTGGCCGTTGAGAAGTTTCGCTCGATTCCTTCTGAAGTCCGGGCGGTAGGGTGCTTTGGCTTATGACACGGGAGCCTGCGTCTCCACAGCACCACGGCCAGAAACTCCCACATCGTTTGGAAAGTGGGCACCCAGTCTATAGGATCCCCCCAAGTATAATCTATATGGTTTACACCGGAATCTCTTCCATTTTATTGCGCGCGCGAAGTGAGGAAGCCAGGTGGCGCCAGCGAGCATCGGCGCAAGCGCATCGGCGAGGCGTCCCCATGAGACTCGGAGGCTACGGCCGGAGGCCCTTCCGAACCATTCCGAACGAGAGCACCCGCAGCAACCAGCAACCGAAGGAGGGACCCTCTAGGGCCCAGGAGTGGAGTTTAGGTCGGGGATTAGGACGGTGAGGGTTCAAGGTACATCAAAGCATCTTATATAAAGGTAGGAACTGACACGTTCAATGCCGGATCTTCCTCTGTTCAGCCAGCAGGACGGCAAGAGAAAGGAAGAGGTGTCCGGCTTCTTCCGAAAAGCGGACCGTGCTGGTCGAACTGCGCACAGCAAACCCGAGCTGACAAACGAATCGACCTCATCTAAGGAACACCACCTCGAGCCCGAACCGATGCTCCGTCGCTCCTTCCCGGGAACCCTGGACTTCACAACTCTCAGCCGCCGGGTTCTTTTCTTTCGTCGACCTCCTGCCGCAGTGTCTACGTGTCTCTATAGGCCGGCGGTTCCGGATGTGTGCTGCTCAAGCCTTTTCGCTCCAAAGATTCTGAAATTCTTGGCCCGTCAGCTTCCGATCATACTCGCTGCCAGCACAGCGCACTGATGTAATCGATGTAATCTCTTTGTCAGTGCCAGGTTCGTCTACTCATGGAGAGCGAAACCATGGAGACCACGAGCCGCAGGTGGAGCATCCTCCACCGGTGCACCTGACTCTGCATACCTGTCGGACGCTGCCCCGGACGTACTGCAACAGAAAAACAGATCAAAAGATGAGGTAACGCAAGCCGCAAGCCCGAACCGCAAATCCAGAGAGCCGCCTCCAGGGTGCAGATCTCGTGCCGGTCCTGGGTCTTAGGCGCTCAGAGGCGGTAGAGGCTGTAGAGGTTTGGGGTCCAGGGTGCAGGGGTTTGCAATTTCCGGCGCTTGGAGGTTCGAGGTTTATGGCTTTACCAGTAGGTTGCAAGGTGCCTGCTGGGGCGTAGATTTCCCGTTGGCCACCAGGCGCAAGCCTCACCAGCCACTCGGAGTTGCCGCCTCAGGATTGCGAAGCAGAGACAGTCAGATAGCGGTTTGGGAATATGCAAAAATTGACCGGCCTCGACTCACAGGAAGAGGTAAGGCAATGCCATTCAGACAACTTCAGATCCCTGCCTCACTTTGGAAGCAAGAAAAAAGGAAGACGCGAAGCAAGCCTGTAGTCCGCTCAGGCAAAGGCTCAATGATCGTGGAAGCCTGGCAAGCACAAGACAGGCTGGATTGATGAGCGGGACCAGCGGAAGTAGAAGCACACACGCGGCTGAAGGGAACAAACACACAACATGCAAAGTCTTTCTCTCTGTCCGATGAGAATCGCAGCTTCGTGGCTCCCTCTTCCTCTGCCTTTTTGCAAGGAGTAGGCGATGGCCGAAGGCCAGAGCGGCGAACAACCCGACCACCCAGAAACAACATGGAGTCTGTACAGAGGTGAAACATTCCAGCACTGCAGGTTTATGTCAATGATTCGTTCCCGAATTCGCTGGTTCCTTCACGTCGCTCGAGGCTAGTCTGCTGCCTCAATTACTTGCAAAGTCTGCGACAAGCAGCAGTGGCTTCGCCATTAATAGCTGCTGTATGCTCAACTAGGGTGCCACTGTCTCCGAGAACAAGTCACGCCGCCTACTTAAGACGAATATGCCAGTGTAGCCGCACAAACAAGCAGAAGCGCAGCAGAAGTCTGCAGTTTCCTGACACTGACCACGAGGAGACCAGCAGCAGCGAAGCTGAGCTTCTGTTATTAGAAGGAGCTGGCCAGCATCCGCATCTGTTTGTTCGTATCTGCCAAACAACCCTTACAGTAAGCTCTCAGCCCTTTGCAATGCAGGCTCTGACAACCCGGCTGGCCGACCAGTCCTTGCTGACAGGCTGCGGAATGTCAGCTACCTCCAGACACAAGTAATGGACTCAGTGTTCTCGGAGCAGAACGCTTGCGTAGCCCTTCTTGTGGTGGTCGCACAGCTCTACATCGCAATCCTCACGTGCTACACACATGCAGATGTGGTGTTGTGAAGCTGGCAGCCCCACACAGAACTGTTTCTGACGGTGTAATCCACACAGAAGAGAAAGCAAAGCCTCGACTAAACAAAAGATACGAACAAAACACACAGCTGCAGAAGTGGGTTGACGAAACCCACGAAGCCATATGGAAGGTTAAACAAACACTCAAATGTATACGTAACGCACCACTCAGAGAATAAGTCAACGCAGCTAAGAAAGACAGATAGGTCCGAAGTGGTTAATTGTTGGATGTTGGCGTTGCTTGTGTATCATTGGTTCTGGTCTGTGTGTACTATCTACCTTTATTTTTATATCTGAATATATATATATATATATATATATTTTTTCTCACTGTTAATTTAACTGTTAATTTCTTTCTGTATTTATTTATTTGTTTCTTTCTTATTTATCTACTTATTTACTTACCCATTTGAGTATCAATGTCTATATATTCAAAACATGTATAGAAAAATGTTTAAATCAATGGTAAACTGTGTGATGATGATGATGATGATGATGATGATATACACATACGGACACGCACACGTTCTGAGAAAATACAGGTTTTATCAACCTTTTGCGATGTATCAGATATCTTGTGGGAATGTAAAAGGAAGCATGTTGTTCATAATAGGTTAGCGATTGGGATTCTCTAACACCTGATAAGTCCTGAATCAAAACATATGTGCCTTAATATCGTTCAATTTACTTTATATATACATATATATATATATATGAGCATACATATATATATATATATATAATTTGCCAAATATACATATATACAGATGCCTGACATTGCTTGTATGAGCGTGTGTCTGAGCTGCTTACTGTTCTATACGATTCGTTTGGTGGCGTTTGTCGCAATGTATGCCCTCCGTCTTGTTCTTGGCTTTGTACTTGTCTGGCCTTTCTGGAGTTGTCTCTTTGTGGTGTCTCGTCTATGTCTTGAATAAAACCCTAGAGCACCAATCTGCGTGCGTCTGCGAACCTGACAGTCCTTCTTGGCGGTATCCTCGCCCATCTCGGCGTCGTCCTTTTCCAGTCCCAAGTCGATGATCCAGCATAAGAAGCTGGCAGTGTGATAGGTGCTAACGGCAATGCTCATAAAAGAGAGGACCAGCGTGAGCAGGCCGCCACCCCGTACGTTGAACACGAAGACATAGGCCGTAAGGCAAAGGGACAACGGGGCCTCGAAGCAGGCTTCCGATGCCAGGGCGTGTCGGAGGGCATCGGTCGACAACCCTCGTCGCAAGGAGGCTTCTACCTGCTTTGGGAGGATCCGCGGGTCGCTGCTCAGGGCTTCCACGGTGCAGGAAGTGGTGATAATGGCCACCATGAGGGACGCAAACTTGAGCTGAGCCGCCATGATGCAAGAGTACACACTGTAGAGGTCCAAGAAGATATCGACAACGGCCATGCCAACCGTGAAGCGGATGCCTCCTGGAGGCAGGCACTGAATCGAACTCTCCGGGCTCACCGCGACTGGGTCGGTGATCTCCGCAATCTCTTCCTTCGTCTCCGTCGCAGCTATGCGCTCGCTGAGCTGCTCCACGGCTTGCTGGTCGCTCGTAGCAGACTGCATGAATCCGCAGCAGGTGTCCATCGCGACAAAAACAACCCAAACAAAGCTGACGGAGGCCACGACACACTGTGCGCCGAAGAACAGGGATCGTTCCCGAGCCGGGAAGGAAGTCTTTGCCGGGCACGCCATCTCAGCAGAGGCCCTGCTCAGCAGTGGCAGGTGCCCATGCACCATGGCGTTCACGGGGAAGGTCGTCGTCGTGTTTGCCAAATCCATTTGGCCATAAATGTAATAATGGATGGGCTCTACGCAGTGTCCTGGCATCCAGCACACCAAAGCGAGCTGTGCGACCGTGGCGACGGCCCGCGGAAAGCGAACCGGACAACGGAGGCCAGGTCTGGTTGCGGGGCTCACCAGCAGCACGGCCGGGAAGCGACGGGCCTTCTGCTGCCAGCATGCCAGAGCCGGCAAGATGTAGACGATCAAATAGCACGGCAGGAAGCTCAGAGGCTCGATCCATAGCATGGTCATTGAGAGCGGCAAAAGGATACATGCCACGAGCTCAAGCGCTCTGAAGGCTTCCGCTTTCCAGATCTGCTTGGTCAGGCTCTTGATCGCAAGCCTCCTGCTGCTGATGCTAACGGTCACTTGCTGTGAGCTTGGCTGAAGGCTTCCCCTCTTCCCCATTGCCACCAAGCAAAAACCCGCGCAGAGACCGACAGCGAGGCCGGAGCCCAGAAAGAGCCAGGTGGTGCCGGAGGTGAAGTACTTGCCGGCCAAGCCCACGCCAGTCGGAGTGACCCTTTCAAGTCGCTGTATCAAGGCTTTTGTTTGAATCTTTGACGAGGAAGAATGGACCCTTGTCTCTCGGAGTCTGGCGAAGTCCAGGGCGTTGTGGCCGCTGCGGCTGCGCAGCTCTGGGAGGCTGCCATGGCGGAGCAGCGCTTCCGAGGCATTCCTGAGGCCCCAATCCGCTGCCTTCATCAAAGGCGTCCGCCCAGCATAGTTGGCCAGATCCACGGCTGCGCCCGCACGGAGCAGTGCCTTGACCTTGGCCGCGGCCGCGGCGGGGCCGTGCTCGTTCCCGACTGCCAGAAACAAAGCCGTCGCTCCGCTCTTGTCCTGGAGATCCAGCAGCGGCTTGTGCTTGAGAATGGCGTCCACGATCTCCGGCTTGCGGTAACGGGCAGCATACATGAGAGCCGTCCATCCGTACTTGTTCTGCAGGTTCACGTCCGGATGGTGCCTCAGAATGGCGGCCACGATCTCCGGCTGGTTGTACTGGGCAAGCATGAGGGCCGTGTTTCCGATCTTGTCTTGCAGGTTCACGTCCGGATGGTGCTTGAGAATGGCGTCCACGATCTCCGGCTGGCTGTACTGGGCGGCAAAGATCAGGGCCGTCGACCCGAGTTTGCTTTGCAAGTTCACGCTGGCCCCGGCAAGAAGGATTGCCTTCACGATCTCCACGTCTGCTATCGTCGCTGCCCACATCAATGCTGTGAAGCCCTTGTCGTCTTGCTCGTCGATGTTGGAGGCGGTCCGGACGGCCTCGAGCACCTTGTCTTGGCCGAGTGTCTTGCGGTTCTTGATGGCTTCCAGCAGGGTGTAGCTGCGGCTTCCGGCTGTAGCCAGCACCGATGCAAGCATCAGCCAGGGCAGCACCCGACTGCATCCCATGGCGGCGGTGAGGAGATCTCTACAGAACCTCGCGGACTCTCCAAGGCCTGAGCTTGATATACGCCTGCGATGCACTGGACTGCACATCGCGACAAGCTCTTTGCACCATTCCGCCACGCAAAAAGCACATCACGGCCATCCCGAGCGCCTCAACGGGCCACATCCTGCGGCAGGGAGCGCAGCTGCGTCGTGGACCCTGACAAGGTAAACTTGCATCATCCCGGTTCTGTCAAAGAAAGCCCACGAAAACGGATGAGGGAAGGGCGGCGCGCAAGACAGCAGCAAGGACCTCCCACTGCACATCCACTATAGACCGCAGACCCTGCACTCACCGTCATTTGGAGATAGCTTGTAATTGCCGGTGCCTACACCTTTTGGGTAGTCGGGGAGGTCTGGCAAGGCCCTATAACTATATAGGGTGCCTTGCATGAGGGCTTCGAGTGCTTGTGATTGCAGCCTGCTCTAGCGCAGTTTCAGGGGTTTCATGTAAGGTCGACAAGGTGCATGCCAGAACCTCCTAAAGCACCTTGGCTCCGAAAACCCAAGCCAGACGGAAGACGCAGAAGGAACCCTGTAACCTGCAAGGCCCCGTTCTGAAATCCAATGGAGCTACCTACTCGCCTCTCTGCAGTCTTTCGACCAGACGTTTGAGTGTCAAAGAAAGACCCCATCCAAGCACGCGAGGCCCTGCTTCCGATGGCATCTGTTCAGCCATCGACCTACGAATACAGGAAACACAGCAAAGCGGCATTGCCAGAACTCCTAAACTCGTAGAAGCCACAGGTCTGGAGATGAGGCGTCTGCGGCAACGGGTCGCGGGGAGCATACGATGAGAAAGGCAAAGGGCAAGGAATCTTAGTTTAGCACGCGCGTTGTACACAGGGGGCGCAAGCCGCTCAATTCACATCGCAGAAATCCGAAGATGCCTGAAGCGTTGCCAGAGGCGGCGAGCCAGCTCGCCCTGATCGCAGTTGTGGGGAGTCTTCGCTACCGTTTCAGGGTTTAGGGCACAAGGCTTATGGGTTTTATAGTGCAAGTGTTGGGGTTTTCCTTTCGTACCTTTCCTTGCAAAGGGTCATCAGGCTCAGGTTGACGGCTTTGGGTCTGAGTCTAAGGCCTTGGATTCGGGGTTTGGGGGCTTGTGCTTGGTGCTTGTTTGGTGGCCAGCCCTGGCCTTCGAAGACAAGCCTCTGCACCATGCGGCCATGCGGAGTGCGTTGATGGGTCCCGCCGGGACAGTTTGGTTTTGGGGCACTTTCTCCGAGAATGTGATGACGTCCGCAAACCCTCATCTGCGGCAAATTCTCAAGCCCCGAAGCCCGAACCTTGCCACCAAGCACCCCCATCCCCCCTCCTCAAAAAAAACTACAGTACGTCCGGCAAGAGGACTATAAGAAGCCTTTAAAGCAAGTACCCCCGTAGACGCCCTTACAGAAGCCTTGTTGTGGGCTTAGACGCCGCCCTCAGCCGTAAATCCTCAAAGCGAAATGTCAAGGGCAGAGCTCGCCATGGCGAAGCCGAGGGACTTGTTGCAGCTCCTTCTTCATAGTCTCGTCCTTCAAAGCTTCGGGGGTTGGGGCTTTAAGGATTTTAAGCGTTTCAGCCCGGAAAGAGTTCTGGTTTCAGGCCTCAGGCTGACTCAGGCTGTTATGATAGGTTTCCAGGGTGCAGGATTTCCGGGCTCTTCGGGTTTCCAGAGCCTGCCGCGTTGCTGGCCTGATTCTAGCAGAAATATTTCCTGAAGCCTGGCTCCGCATGCCCCTCCTGGTCTAAAGTCCTGAGACCTCAA